AAACCAGAAGTCTCAGCATCTGGTCAAGTAATTGTTGAGTGACTGGTATTCATCAACAACCCTATTAGTGTCTTATTTAGTGGTATAAAACAAGGCAAACTGTAACATTAAGGGCTGAAGCTGTCTTGATTTTTTAGGATATAATCTGCTTTATCTGGATAGATATCCGTCAAACGTTAAAAGGAAACTGTCAAGCATCCCATGCACTCAGGCTGCTGGCACAGAAACTTTCCCTCCACACAGACCAGTAAGACGACTCCATGCACAGAGAAGTGTCGGGCACCGGCTGAAATCTTCTGTTATCATCCTCCTCAGGCTGCAGCCTCATGCTTTTGGACCCTGGTTGGTTTGTTTTTTGTCTCCAGTGTGCATCAGAGAGCAGTGTGTTCTTCCTGTTTTGAAAGGAGAGCAGCACTCTCGGGCCATGGAGCTGCCGTTCCCCGTGCCAACACAAATGGTAAAGGAAACAGCAGCACCCAGCTGGAGCCCCATTGGGCAACGGACAGAGATAAGGGGTGTGTTGGTTAATGCAATCTGATGCTCTGTCTGAAAAAACACATTTCCACATCCACTGGAAAAGAATGAAATATATCACAGGGATGAAATGTGGGGATTACATGTAATGAAGACATTTACTAAAAAAACAAAAAGGACCCGGTCTTAGTCATTAATGTTGTATTTAAGGCTTATAGAGAGCGATTGAAGCTTAACTTGAATGATGGAACCCATTCAGGCTTGTGCGAATGTGCCCAGATTTATCAAACCACCGTGTCCCATAGCCCTTCAACTTTTCATTTTAATCAGTGCACAACACTACTCGGCACTAAATTTTGGCATAACTAAGCCCTATCAACATCTGTTTGTAACAGTGACCAATTCTCTCCACTAATCCACTAACCCTCACATGATGCTATGGCCAGCCAGATTTCCAACCTCACCCCGCAGTCTCTACAACAATAGACTGGCTTGAAGGAAGTCATTTGGTTTTCTGAGCTTGAACTGTACCAACATGAACTGGCCTACAAGATTGTTGCAGTGGGCTTGAAACAATAAAAGGCTAGTTATATCAGCTACCAGCAGATTTAAAGTAAAAGTGTAAAACAATTACAGGAACTAAGGACAGTTCTTATTATCAATGATATAATGTGCTGTTATCAAGGGATTGAGGAAATGTATTTGTAACAACAAAATGAAAGTTTGTAGTTTCTTCATGCTACACACATAGAAAAAGATAATGAATTAACATAAAAGATCAATACAATAGAATAAACTATAATAAAACAATATGTACAGTTATGTATATTATATATGCACCTTGAATACACCCAGGGAATAATTCTGCTGTGCATTTTTTTAATTTGCATCTGGTTGAATGTAAACAGCAGCAACAAGATAGTGATGATAATAATCAATAATCATCTAAACATAAAAAAACTGTCCATCCAGTTTGACTGTGTTTGAGCACCACCTCCTATTATAAAGTACACAAAAAATAATTTCTGTTCCTATTCATTTACTGTAGTAATAATCTAAATTTATCACTTGAAATACGTAAATTGGTATCACTATATCAGATCACCAAGCAGTTGTCTCTGTAATAATATAAGGATAGGTTGCTGCAGATTACCTTTATCATATCATGTATATCCATGTATAAAATACAAATGGAAACCAAATGAGAGAGTTGAGGTGTCAGTGATACCACTGGACTTTCACATGCAGTTGAGGAGACACTGATTGGACTGAACTACATCAACCATCGTTACACATTCATCTGAGAGCATGTGGTGTGCAGATATCAATAAAATATTTGACACTAATTGCATACATATGTGTTTTATTTCTTTCTTGCAACCTACTAAAAATGTATGTAGTTTTTGGATTTTGGTTTTCTTAAGAAGTATGTGTAATCCTTGTAGATGAAACAGGTAAAAATAAATTGCTGGATTCACTATTTATGCACAGACTCAACTTAGAAACCATCAGAAATCAGAAATACTTTAATAATCCCAGAGGGAAATTATTTAACACTCACTTAAGA